TTATTTTTTCTGTCTTTGAGTGCAGCTGAAAAAGGACAAAATCAACTAAAGGGTGGCTTAGTCCTGGGAATACAGGCAGCGGCTCTGTTTAGTTTTGAGGAAGTAAATAAGCATCCAAGACATCTTCACAATATGTGTAAATTTAAAATGCAAGGCTTGGAAACAAGAGAAGTTACTGCACTTTAATGAACTTGAATTGTTCCGTTCTGCCCTTTTCTTTTTGACCCAGTTGTTGATCTCCCTTGCAGGCAGTGTGCTTGGCTTTGTGCTTGCAATCCTGGCTGGTTGGCAATCCCGTCTGGGTTATTTTTTGCTGTTAAATATGATACCTCTGGGCAGGGGACTTGCACCAGCTCATCCCAGCCACTGTATCACTTCCTTCAAGTTCCCAGTTTAGTTCCCAGTCCTTTCCAGTGCAGGAGACTGGTCAAACTTTACTACAGTAAATAAACCAGGGATAATAGGTTTAATCTCACTCTTTGGTTGTGTTTTGAGTGTCTGCTGTGGTTGTTTCTGTGGAATACTGACTGTATAATCTTTGCCATGGAATGGGTGCCCTGGGACACTGGGCAGAATGAGCCATGCTTTGCCAACTTGACTGACCATCTGGTTTAGTGGCAGGAGGGAAATGAAATAGCACTTCAAATAAGAAATTAGTGAAATAATTAGCCTGACAGCACTGGGGTACTTTGAGATTCTCAGTGGATATTTTACTTACCAGGGCAGGAAGCTTCTCCTGGCCCGTGAGACCAGCCTGGAAAGTAGCTAAAGTAATTGTGGAGGGGCAATTAGTGGATTGCAGAGGAGGAGGAAAGAGATGCAGCATAGAGCTGCATAGATCCCTGAGGGCAAGGATGTAAGATTTCATGTGATACAGCAGAGCTGAGACTGGGACTGTGGTCAGCAGTGGCTGAGTGAGGAGATGAAATGGCTGATTTTTAATTTTTTTCTTTATCACTCTGCCAGACAACCTAGTTCAGTTTCCAAGCAGTGATTGCTCATTCCAAATGTCTGCCTTGTCACGTCATACTAAATCATGTTACCCATGATTTCTTTGTACATACATCTCGAAGATGAACACAATGTTAATATTCTGGGAAAAGCAGTAAATTCCATAACTGTGAGCACAGACTTAAGCGTAAGTTAGATCAGTTACAATAGAGTGTTCATCCTAGCCAGAGACTGCAGGAGAACTTCTGGAGTGGGTTCATGGCATGAACCCAACCAAACAAAACCCAGCAGCAGCAAACATATCACAAGAATGAAAAATCTTTTTGGGATATTGCTGGGAAATCAACACAAAGTTAAAAAACCCCAACTAATAAAAATAGATGACAATGGATATATTCTAAAAAAGTCATGCTACATTTGTGCCATACGTTAAACCGTTGTCTTACTCCTTTTATCTATTTCTGAAAAAGTCTTAAATGAAATAATTGTGGAATTGCCTTGATTGTGTAACTTGCAATGTATCTTTAGGTCTTACAGAGCAGCTGCTATTACTATTTCATTGTGTTATAAAATTGCCCTGTATTTTTCCAGCTGGTAGTCTGCTGTTTTTACAGTTGCTTATCTTTTTGGCTAAATCATGAATGTAAGGAAAACAGCAGAACAAGCTGAAACAGCCCAGCGTGTTTGCAGTCAGAAATCAAAAGCTGTCCGTAAGATTAGGAGCAGGAAGCCCAAGCTTCTGTTCCGTCAGCTATAAAAGACACGACAGATCCAGTGAACTACATGAATGTATAAGTGGAAAATTAAAACTCAGACCTACTAAGAGTAGGTGAATCTGTTACTGTAAATTAATTATTAGTAAGGTACACTCACTGGCAAGCTCCAAGCCTCTGTGGATTAAGGGCTGTTTCACATTTTAGATGTACTCTGTGCATCTGAGGAATACCCTAGGTTGTTTCATAGCAGCCTATTGTAATGTTTACATTTTGCTCTTTTTTTATCTAGAAACAATTCAGTTTAGGACAGCACATGCATTGGCAACATCTTCTATTGCTGGAGAAGAGACAGAACTACTACATTAGCAGTTCACTTCAAACTCAGATTATTTTTCTTTTCAGAGTGCTATTGTCTGGTGTTTGCATAGTATGATAAAGATGTTTCTGCTAGCCTCTACCTATGCCACATTTGTGCTGTTATAAAGTCTGCTGGGGTTTAGTTCCTGAATGTTGAAGTTTGTAACGTTATTCATTTGACCCTAAAGTTCTTCAGATATTTCTTCCCTTGTACGTGCTGCATCCACACAACCTGCACTTTACAACAGTGGAAAAGGTTCTGCATTCTATCCCCTTGACCCTAGAAAGCCCTATTTTGTTCACAGAATACATCTACGATCCCTTTTGATGTACTTTGTATTTAGTCAACCAAAACAGCATTTCTCTAACCTTAGCAGTGTTTATGCTAAGGCCAGCCAGCATTATAGGCTATTCAAATTTGATATCAATTATGGTTTTTTTTAAGTGAACAGGGAGCTTGAATGTTTCTTGAGACGTTGTTTTCCCTGTCTCTTTTTCATCTGACTACCTATTTACTCCTGTTCCTGCTCCAAATAAAAGTACAGTGTCAACACTACCAGTTTCCTTATTTCTTTACCCATTTTTGAAAGGCTGTCAACCAATTGATTAATTCAAAAATTAGAATTCAGTGCTTTTTCTGTTCCAGGTTCTTTTACATTTAAATGAAAATGGAAATTTTTCAGAGAGAAAACATACATTTTAATTAAATGTCTTTATAGTAGTGCAGGGTATTCAGAGTTGTTTATGTTAATTTTTCTGTTACTATTCTCTTATTTGTCAAGTGTTTACTTTGATACATTTATTTTTTACACATTTTGACCTAGTTCTAATCAGCCTTTTCTGCTGTAATTCACAGGAAAAATCCTAACAAGCCTAAGTACAGCGAAAATTATTTGTTAGGATTCTTTCTGAAAGATTTCACCTTTTCTTCCACCACCTTTTCTATACTACTCTATCCCTACGTATGGTGCTTGAGTTAATGAAGTGAATTTTGGAATCACAAGTGTTAGACTGTTGTGTTGGTAGGTGGTGCTTGATCCAAATTACTTCTGTCCATCTAGTGAGCATGCAGTCTGCATTCAAAGTGTAATAGATTGTTCTTGTGCAGAACTTAGTGTATTTTCAAGAAGTTCATGCTCTTTGCAAGCTCTAGTAAGAGGTACTTACCTCTTAGTTAGTTGGGTTAGTAGGGCAGAGAGGTTCTCCTGCCCCTCTGCTCTGCCCTGGTGAGACCACATCTGCAATATTGTGTCCAGTTCTGGTCCCTCAGGTCAAGAAGGACAGGAACTGCTTGAAAGAGCCACAAAGATGATGGAGGGAGTGGAGCATCTCCCTTATGAGGAGCAGCTGAGGGAGCTGGGTCTCTTTAGCTTGGAGCAGAGGAGACTGAGGGGTGCCCTCATTCATGGGGATCAATTTGGAAAGGGCAGTGTCAGGAGGAAGGAGCCAGGCTCTGCTCTGTGATGTCCAATGCCAGGACAAGGGTCAATGGGTGCAAGCTGGAGCATAGGAGGTTCAACCTGAACATGAGGAAAAACTTCTTTACTGTGAGGGTGGCAGAGCATGGCCCAGGCTGCCCAGAGAGGTTGTGGAGTCTCCTTCTCTGCAGACATCCAAAACCCACCTGGCCGTGTTCCTGTGTGACCTGGTCTGGTGATCCTGCTCAGGCAGGGGTTGGACTGGGGGAGCTTTCGAGGTCCCTTCCAACTCCTGACGTTCTGTGATTCTGTACTTAAACAGCACAGAAGAATTTATGTTAATACAGAGAGATATTTGCAGATTTGCACAGCTCTGTATAATCCTATCTTACACTCAAGTTGTACCAGTGAGGATGGTGTTGCTGGGAGTGCATGAGTACTTTAAAGATCTGAGACTGCATCTGAGAACTGAATCTTTATTGCTGGCGTTTGGGGTTAGGAGGGAGACGCAAGCTTTTAACCTGTAAAGAAGCCAGCAATTAATTTCTAATAGTTGAGATCACTGGCAAGAAAATTATTAAAGATCAAACAGTATTTGTGTATTTCTTGCTTTACAATTACATGGAAATGATGGAAGAAGTTTTTGTAACAAACCAGCTTTACTGTCACCTTTTCTATGTATCTTTCAGTCTCACCGATGTGAGTTTGACAGGTTTGGAGCAAGGTATTAGCCAGCAATGTGTGGTCTTTGCTATGAGTCTTTTCAGTAATCAAGGCATATAATCACTTGATTTTAAAATCACCATACACAGTTACTAAGAATAGGCATGCATGCTGCACCATAACCGCAGAACAGCTAGACACATTTTAGAAGTTGGTTTCAACAAAAGAAATAATCTTCTTGAAGTCTTTATGCATTTAAGCAACATAATACATCTATTCACTGCTTGTGAAGAAATACTGCTTATTTTAGGAAGTGATTATTTGAGTATAGAAAGGCATTCTGTAGCAAAGGCTTAACTACTAAAAATGCAAGCTCCCTTTCACGTACAATTGTCTAAGTTCTGTCAGTAATTTTTTTTTAAATCAAGACATCAGAGGAAAAGCCTCACACATTACTACTTGCAATTCATTATTACTTTCAGCTATACATTTAACATCACAGAAAAGATTTATCTGACGCATAACTGTAAAAGTGAACAGTAGTTCAGCAGAAAAACCAGCATATCTTTTTAAAAGAGCATCAGTACCCGAGAACACACGATTCCTTACCTGAAAGCTTTTGGTTTCCCTGCAGACAATGTGTCTTCTTTGTCTTAAAAAGTAGACAAGCCTCTCAGTAGCACTAATGTTACTCCAAAAGAAGGTATAATAGGTCCTTTATATTGTCATTTTCATTGTTTGTATGCAAGAAGCGTGCTGGATCTGCTCACATAGAATAAATAAATTAAAAAAAGGCAGTCCAAACTGAACAGCAGCTAACATATGAAAGTAAAAGACCTCTAGTGGCCATAACCTGAAGTTAAAGAAGGCTTCTCTGCTCTCTGAGGTAGACGAAATGGTTGGGTATGACAAACTGCGGCGGATACTTTGTACTGTGTGCGTTTGCCTTTCTGTTGCAACAGAAGTACAAAGTGGATCAGGATTAAACACAGAGTCTGATCGGTGCCAGGTGGAAGTTAACTTAAGGTCAGAAGGGCTGGGGAGTCCCTTGTGTGAATTCTAAAGCAGCATGATGGAAAGATCTGAGTCAGTCTAGAAAATTATTTTGCCTGCTCATCTACTTCTTCGTTTTGTATTTTAATAAAATTAAGGCCCTTAAAGCAGGTTCACTTTTAAAACAGTAATTAACATTTCAACAAATTAAAAGACATAATCCTCCGTAAGGAGGACTCTTCACTGTCTTAAAGGAGAACTGCAAATGATTAAGCTCACTAACTGCTTGAGAGAGAGATGACTTTATGACTTCTAGGAAATTATTGTGAAAACCAGGGGTTATAGGTAATTTTATATCTT